AGAAACCTAAAGCCCTAGACCTTAAACCCTAAACCCTAAAACCCTAAACCCTAAAACCCTAAAGCCCTAAACCCTAAACCCTGAAACCCTAAAGCCCTAAAGCCCTGAAACCCTAAAGCCCTAAACCCTTAAACCCTAAAGCCCTAAACCCTAAACCCTTAAACCCCTTCCCCTAAACCACTAAAGCCCTAAACCCTCAAGCCCTTAAACCCCTAAACCCCTAAACCCCATCTCTGGGATTTTGGACGGCGGCCCTAACGCCTGCCGCGCCATCCTAGAAATAGAACCGCCGTCATGAGCCTCAGACTGAGGCTCTAGGTTTTAGGGCTTTAGGGCTTTAGGGTTTTAATGGTTTTGGGTTTTAGGGGTTTAGGGGTTAGGGTTTTGTAAATTAACCCTAAACCCTACCTGGAAAGCCAGTAGTCTGTATTTAGGGGCGACTTTGAGCCAATTATGGGCTACCTTAGGGTATGGTAGTCTGTTTTTGTTGGGCTACTTGGCTTTTCAGTTTAGGGTTAGAGACGTGCTCTTTTTTTCAAGGGCCTCTTGAAGATTCCACCGTTGCGGGGAGCGGAGGGAACACCTGACGTGAGAACCTGAGGTCTTGAATTTTGGAACCGTCCCCGTGTCAAAGAAAGATGGTGGTTTAGTTCAGGGTTTCGGGTTTGGGGTTTAGGGATTTAGGGTGTAGGGTTTGGGGTTTAGACGTTGATGTCCCCCAGACTCCCTAGACCCTGAACCCCCGAAAAGCCCATAAACTCCTCGAGCCCAGCATGACCCCATGGGAACTGCGACTGTCACTGCAGCTTCGGGTTCTCGCTGGGGCATGTCGAAGCCTGGGACCCCCACAACCATACCCGCCGAAACCCAAAGCGCAGAGCCTCAACACCTTGAGCCAGAAGCCCTAAAAGCCTAAACCGGAACACCCTAGTACGGTTTAGGGGTTTAGGGGTTAACCCTAAACCCTAAACCCTAAACGCTAGTTTAGGGGTTAGGGTTTATAGGGTAATACCCCGAATACCCCGTAACCCTATGCCCTGAACATCTGAAGCCTTGCAGCCCTAGGCGCGTCGCCTCAAGGGCCTAAAGCCACGAGCCTAGTGCCCCCCAAAAGCACAGACGAACAGAAGTCTACCAAGAACCCTAAACCCTAAAGTTTAGGGCTTAGGGTAAGTATACTCCAGCCTTTGAGCCCTACCTAAACTCAAAGTCACCGTAACACAGAAACCCATTGGACCCATTTCAACCCTACTCCTTCAAAGACCCTGAACATGCCTGAACCCCCAAGACTTCAAACCCTAAGCCCTACCCCTGAACATCCCTCAACCAAACAGAAAGCTCAGAACGGTAAGAAGCTCTGCTTGCGCCGGGTCTCATCCGGCCTCAACCGCGGAGTTCGCGTTCGGAGCATCCCCTGGAGCGAGGGGCCTCCACTGCATCTCCGGCGGGGAAGCGCCTTCTTTTTGGGTGGTTTCGGGTTCAGGGCTTAGGGGTTTAGGCGGTTTAGGGGGTCGAGGTTGATGCGGGGTGTTATTCGGGGGTGTAGTGAAGCGCGTATTTTGTTAGGGTTCCTTTCGCTGATCCTTTGCCGGATTTTGGGTGTATTCTGGGTTCTTAATCTAGGACATTTTCAGGTGGGTAGTTACCGTTATAGGAGCCTTATAGAAGGTCTATATACCTTATAGAAGCCTTATAGAAGCCCTTTTTTACCCTCAACTCCCCACCTGTCGTTTCCTTTAACTTAAACCCTAAACCCTAAACCCCTAAACCCTATACCCTCAACTCCCCACCTGTAGCTTCCTTTGACTTAAGGGTTCGAGAAGCGAACTTCGGCTTCCTCCTTTTCTTCCTTAGAGAACCCAATATACCTTAATTAAGGAACACACCTTAAATTGTAGGGGCCTCAATATTGTGACTTAAGGTATATTCCTTAATTTAAGGTGTATTGGGTTCTCTTGGTTTTTTTATGGGCTCCAGAAGAGGGCTACCACGATATTCCCGTCTTCGGGGGGTCCGAGGGTTGTAGGGTTCAGGCTTGAGGGTTTTATGGTTTACAGCTCGGGGTTCTATTGGGATTGAAATTTCCCATAATTTCCCGCAGCTCCCAGTCTTGCACAATGCACATGTTCTACTAAAGTCGCACCCTAAACCCTAAACCCTAAACCTCTTTCCAAAGCGCCATCCATAATTTGACGGTCCCGAACTGAATGGATCGTGCTACCGCCACGCCGTGCGTACAGTGGGATGCTTTTGGCTGGAAACCAGGCTCCCGCTTAACTGTGTGTCCGCCCCTCCGCCCCCACCCCCCCGCCCCTCGAATCGTGCTCGCGCCGCAACCACAAAGGTTGGCTGCGACTCATCGCTCCCGCCACAGTTTCACGCATATTTTGGAGCGGCATTCTTGTTCTGCCACGCCACGGTGAGTGTGTGCATGTGTGGACATGTGGACGTGTGCATGTGCGCATGCATGTGCGGGTGCTTGTGGGCGTGGGTGTGGGGGTTTTGGGGGTGTGGGTGCGGGTGTGGGCGTGTCTGTGCGTGTTCTCCGGAGCGCGCATTTGGCTTGGTCTGCATTCACTGCCCTGTGTCTACGACGGCATGGTCACCCGTTAACATTTTACGAGCTCCTTACCTCGATCGTCAATCAATCATTTTCGGATAAGTTGCCGCTCCGTTTTCCATTGATGCCACTGGTCAATTGAACATGCGGGCTGTGGCACAGCTTTTGGGGCAGGACTGGCAACCCTGGAGACGCCCGCATCTAAACTATTGAGTGCGGCACTGCGGAAATAACAACAGCCCCTAAAACTTTTTCACGTCTGAAAGGCTGAGCCGCGCGTACTGTATTTTACAAGGGTTTTGAAAATAAACACGCTGGATTTTTAAACTCGAGCTGGATTTTAAAAATATCCATAGGTTTCTAAACATGGATTTTTTGTGTCTTTAGACGCGGTCGTTCACCTATTTTAAACACGAATATTAAACACATGCAGAAATATACATGTTTTACACATGAATACACATGCATTTCAGCAATGCAATCTTATGGTCATCAAAATTGAAATCTAAACTAAAAATGTTTTGACACGATTGAACATGTCAAAAACATGTCGCGGATGGTTGCGGTGTGGAGAAAATGATCGGTTCTACCAGACCATTCATGTGTACTCAATGCAAAACACATGCGAGGTCATCGAGGTCAAGATCAACCAGGAGATGACATCAGCAACCAGCTTCATGTTGAGGTACGCACAAGAGTTTTCTACTCGGGACGGCTCTGTAGGTGAGCACAGATGCGAAGCAATGGCCACTTTGGCAGAGCTGTTTTCCTTGGCGAAACAGCCTGAACTTCGCTCCCGGCACATGTCTCGATGGAGGTCGTTGGCTGCTGCACACATGTATCATTATGCGCATTGTGGATTTCCAATCTACCCAAAGTTTCAATACTTTTTGCACATGCCAGAGCAGGTGGAGAGCGCGGAGGTGTTTCGCCGGTTTTTTGGGTGCACAGCGACGAATCCAAGAACCGAGAGGCCACGCAAATTTGGCAAGCCTGGTCGAAAGGCTGGTCGGTGTACCCCCTAGAATCGCAACCCGCATCTTGGGAGAGGATGACCCTGGTTGCTCGCGTTTAAACACATACACACGAACTATGATTTTTAGATTTTTTAGACACCATCCCTTTACTGCAGCCACAACGTCTTTTTTTTTTCTGGTCGTTTTTGTGCACCAACCAAGTTTAGACACCCCTCCTTGTACGTCGATGACGCGTCTATAAAATCTAAAATTGATCTCTAGGCAAGTCTTGCAAGGTGCAGCTGCGAAGACATGAGCGCACTCATGTCGACGAGGGCGACTCAGAGCTCGACAACGGGCCGTCAACAGGCAACTCATGTCTGTTTGTGATTCGCAACTGGTACCACCCCAACCGCCGAACTGGAGATCCAGACGTCTGGAACGTTGGCCCACTTCAAAAGTTCATCCATGGTCGCCTCAGTCCGGGCACCTGCTTCGAGGAACCAGACGGCGCTGACGCTGGGACACGCGCGCCAACAGCTCCCCTTGACCTCGGAGATGCAACGGACTGGTGGTGGACCAAAAGAATTATGGAGGATTTCGTTGGACTTCATCGGACCCCCCATGTGCTGGTCTCCATTGAGTTTGTAGCCATAGTTTCAGAACGGCCACAGCGATGATGGCGAGTAAAATTATTACACGGCACTGCAAATCGAAATGAGCTTGATGCTTGCTGGCTGAGTTTCGCGGTGAGCAGGCTACCTGAAATTAAATTCCATCTCGCATGCATGCCATGTCTCACTGCTTTTAAGTGCCTTCCTTCGCAGCAAGGTTCTGAAACATACAGCTGCAAATTCTACGCTTAAGGCGAGCAAGGGACATTTCGCTAAAGGTTGGGTAGTGAAGGGTGTGCGTGCTGGGCTTGGGCCAACGTTCGCTGATGCATCGTTAGCGAGGACTATACATTCTCTGATGCCGTGTCGGAAGGCGAGTGTTCGGAAAGTTCCGGTTTCTGGGATCCCCCATTCTACGATCAGCTGCAAGACTGTCTGGGAGGAGCCAAACCTGGTGTTGAAAGTCAAAGCTTGACTGCAGCTATCCAAGAGTATGTGTTTTTTCGCAGGATCGAGCTCTTGGAAATATACTGTCTCCGGCACGTGCATGAGTTAACCGCCTGTCCTGAGTATGTATCCATCGCCCTTCGCTATGACTGCAGATGATCAGGCGTCGACAATTTGAAATGGCGGTTCGAACAAGTCAAGAGATGGCCCCGTACGTGCCGCCTGACATCGTCTTCCACACGCCTCCCGACCACTCGATAACCAATCTGCAGAGAAGCATGAAGCACTTTGGAGCTCATGTAAGACTCATGAGGGAGCTTATTCCTTTCCACGAAGCAGTCGATCTGAGTTTGTGGCCTTCGCCGTTCGATGCTTCCATCAGCAAGAGGAAGTTGCAGAAGTGGTACTTTCATGTCAGGTCAGCGATACGACTACTCCGTGAAGGCGACCAGGACAACAACCGCCTCGAGACAACTGGGCAACGAGAGGCCGGGCATCTTGCAGATCCGCAATCTGATGCGAACAATGCGCCATCCATATCTCAGGTTCATGTCAACGTGACCCCGCCCGACTTGGATTTCTTGGGAGGATCGGCAGCTTGAGCGCACTAGTTCTTGCTTGCCTTTACCATGAAGGTTACCGACCCGAGTATACAAGACAAACAGTCGATGACTTAGGTCGATTGCGAAATGGACGTGGACGAGATTACCGGAAGAGGCGCGCCCATGTCACCAGATCGAAGTGTATGTATAGAAAAATAATATTGCTGACTGTTGTTAATTTCTCAGGTGGCTGGTCTGATACGATGGAAAGGATTACTGGATCGGTTTTGCTGGAGCCACCGAAAGAGCCGGTGTTCCGGGTGCCCAGCGACCACGGCACGGCGAGCACTGCAACATTACGGCCATGCACGGAACTGGCATCCATCAACTCCTGTGATCTAGACAAACACTTGAAGTTCCGACGGCCACGTATATTTTTACAAGGATGCGAAAGCCGGATGCAGCGCCGCTAAGCAGCACGATTCGAGTTGCGCGAACGGTATGTAAACTCGAAGTCCAGCGCGACGGGTGCATGTGCGACTATGAGAGGTACAAAGTGGGACGCAGTGCATCTTTGTTTACGTATCGTGCGTCTGTATATAATGAGGCGGTGCAAGTATCGAAACTTCCACTTCGTCAGGTCACGACTCTCATCCACAAGCATTCCGAGCAGTTTGATCCGCAGACTGCTCTGATGATGATGAAGACAGGCAGGAACTGGCCCCGACCTGAATATCTGGATTATGAGGTCAACTTTGGTAGCCTTGCCAGAATGCTCATGGGCCTGGATTTCAAGTATCAGGCAGATCTAGTGAGTTTACTTCGAGAGGAACAGCCGGATGTTGCGGAGGTCTGTCGTCTATTCGCACTTTCCCGATCGGAATGTGATGAACTGGACCCGTAATACAGCACTTGGTTTTGAGCGATGATGGAATTATGCTCTTGTGGGAGACCAAGAGGAACGAGGCTGCCAATTCGGGCACATGGATGCACGCCGTGCTAGAATTTTTGTTCAACGGATATCAAATCGCAGCAGGCGAGATGCAAGGAGAGCTGGACGCAGCTGTCAATATCGTAAGTCAAATGGGAGATGTTGAAGTTTACAGAACCGAGTGGTGCATATACGCCCCCGACGAGGATGTTGCGGGTTCCATTGACATGGTCTTGAAACGAAGAGACAGTGCTGTTTTCTATCTTGTGGACTGGAAGCGTAGTGAAAAGCTTGAGGACAAGTGCAATGGCCTCGGAAAGACAATGAAGTCTCCGCTGGAATCAGTGGCAGACTGTCAAGGTCAGCATTACCGTCTTCAGCTCAATATATACAAATGGATACTCGAGAAGTACTATGGTGTCCAGATCCATGGCATGAAAGTCGTCTGCATCCACCCACGATATCTTCCGGGTGGGTTCGTGGATGATGTTCCGAATATGCAGGGTCTCGTCTCGGAGCTGACGCAGTGTAGAAGAAATGAGAAAACTGCGCACGGACCGGATCAAGATGCTGCAGTCGCACAGGAATCCTTTCGTGAGGACGAAGTACAAGCCCGAGCATCTCCTCGGGAAGCCCTGAGCCCAACCGAACGTTTCCCAGTGGTTTTGCCTTCACAACCGTCGGTGGTCGAGTCAATGGCTGATCTAGAGGCAATGATCGAAGACCTCGTGGACGATCAAGATAACGGAGCTCCAAATCATGCCAAGAAATCAAGAAACGTCGTCTTTTACCTGGAGCAGACACACACTCCCGCAGATTTCAAGATATGTTTCGGAGGTCTCATCCCATTCTGTCAGATTCCCTGGACAACATAACGCCAGACATCTCGCCTCGTACGAATACGATCCTGCGCAACACCCGTCGCATGCTAGGCGACCTGAGAGCGGAGTATCCTGACATCTCGGAGGACATCAGATGCATGATGCTGGTGGCTGCACATCTCGCGGAAGGCCACCTTGTCGTCAAGCCCATGATGACTGACTGCGCCGCTCTCACATGGATGGTATAGAGGGAGATCGGTATATGAGAGTACACAAGGGATTTCTCTACATCTATGATGACGACGGATGTTTTCTTCCGTTTGGGGGAATTCCCCCTGAGTGGTCTTACATCGAGTGCACAGATTCTTCGTGAGCTTAGAGGGAATCTTCCGGCGAATGAAACCGGAAATCACCCGCAAAGCCAACTATGTTGCTCGCTCCATTGCTGCAGACATGCAAAACCACGAAGCTGAGGCGGAATATCTAGAAGCGTGCAGAGATGCAACTACCAAGCCGCCTTTGCCGATCTTGGATTTAGCGCTGAACCCTAAGCGCAATAAACCCTAACAGCCCTTCCTTAAACCCCTATATGCCTGCACGTCGCAGGGGAGCCCTGTCGTGGAGAGTGAGGTGGTTGCATGTATGACACGGCGCCGAGACCTGAATACGAAACTGTAGCGGGCTGCAAGTTGCAAGTAAAAAGTTATCGGTGCGGCATGCGGTTCGAAATCTACAGCAAAAGGAGTGCGATCTACAAAAACTCTGGGGCCATGGCCAGGGAGGTCGGCGCATGGGAGTAAGAGGAGGGCACGGCGCAGGAATGTGCACTGCCTCGTGAGTGCGGTTAGGTGAGGAGCCGGATCATCGCCCAAAGCATAACCCTAAGCCTTGAAACATCAAACCCTACACCCTGAACCTAACACCTTCCCGGCTTTGCGTTTCGAGCGTCCTGGGTTGAGTTTGTGGGTTCGGGTTTGGAGCCGTGCGTTTCGGTGCGGAGGGGGTGCAGGGGCGGGGCTGTGTTACAGCGGCTTGAGGAGCAGTCACTTTTGAGTATATGATCCAGGGCCTAAGCCCCCTCCCTTTCCAGAAGATCTTGTGATTTGAAAGGTTGAGGCTCTGAGGTGTACATTTTTAATATTCAGGAGCCTGACGAGCAGTACACTGAGCCAGTACGCCCGTTAATTGAAGTTCAAACTGCAACGAAGCCCCACCGAAGGAGATTAGGACCTAGCAACCAACCGTGCAAAAGCCACAAGCAACATTTGCTGCTTGACCCATTAAGCACAAACACATCCCTTAACATTGTGTCGCAGAAGCTGCTTAGGTACAGTGGCTCCAGCTTCTTTAACGAGAAAAGCTTCCGCGCCGGCTGCGTGAAGACATCAGCATGCCACGCGCGAAAGGAAAGATGCAGTGGCCTGGCATGGTGATGGAGATTAACCCGCCGAGTCCGATGACTTAGGAAAACGTTCATTTATTCTGCAAGGAATATGGGGCAAGCTATAAAAGCATGAAGAAGAATCCCCATATGCCCCAAATGCCACAGTCGACACCTTCAACCTTACGTCGAATACTCGAGCCCGACGGCAGAAACGTTGGACCGATACAGGGAAACGTTATACCCTCCAACACCTTACCTGAGTTTTTTGGATTCCGATAGTTTGATATCGTTCTAAACGGTTAACTTCTGATTTCACTACTCGTAGGGCATTGGGCAAGTACATATCAGTTTAGATGTTACGCCGCATTTGAATGATGCAAATTTTGTAGTTTAGCGCAACCTCCGACAAGACATCCCATGCATACTATCGTGGAAAAACTTGCCCTTGAGCCTTGGACCCTCACACTAAACTTTGGCCCGCGCTTTACAAAGCATGCTTCAAGGAGGGAAAATGGGGACCCGGGGGAGCTCGGGTCTGCACCTTGCCTGTCATTTCTTTTAAATCCCCAACAAAGGCTGGGGTTTAGGGTTTAGGTTTTAGGGTTTAGGGACCGCAAGCCCTCAAGGGCCTTGGCGCGCATATGTGGAGCAATTACACAAGGGGCGCTTAGCAGCAACTCGTCACCTTGCTACCCAACCACCGCATTGTTGAGTCCAGGGCCAGCTCTGGACTGTAAATTAAGCCCGCAAATTGCAAAAACCCTAAGACAGAAGCCTTAAACCGGCAGAGCTGTAAAGCCATGTGCCCTGCAGCCCCAGACTCAAAGACTCGAGCCGTTGTCATCACAAAGGAAGTCGTCCATCAAACTGGGCGCTCGCATTGAGAAGGACATTCGGACACCAGAATAGAACCCTAAACCCTCAACAGCAAACCTTAAAACGCTAAACCCTAAATGCCTTCAACCTTAAATAACCTATATAGGGTTGCGGGCTTTAGGACTTCGGTTTTTTCTATTGACGATTCCGACTCCCTACCCAAAGCCGTCAGAACTCTGCCTAGACAAAAAAACTATAGTGCTTAAGGGCTTTATAAGGATAGCGAAAAAGCTCGGGGGCTTCATCTCGTAGGACTTGCAGGCTTAAGGGCTAAGGGTTCACGGTTGATGCTCCGGGTCCGAGTTTCAAGTTGATACAGACGGGTTTTAGCGGTCGAGGATTCAAGCGCTTCAGGGTTTAAGGACTGCTTTAAGGTTTCTTGAAATAGGACTTACCAGAAGGGAAAGTTTTCAGATGGGGTCGCAAAGGGTGGTTTTCGCTGTTTTAATAAGGTGTTCCGGCGCCCATAAAGCACTTGAGCCATATACCCAAACCCAAATCCGTGAACTCGAAACCCCTAAACCCGCGAAGCCCCTAAACCCTTTAACCCTCATCCTTGAAAGCGCAATACAATCCCTGAACCCCTGGCCGCCTGAGGCTTCTCTTTGTGTTCTGGCTTGGTGCTGTTGTGTTGATTGGTACTTGCCTTGTGTGCGCCTCTACCGGGGGTGGGGAGCGAGAGCAAACGCCCGACACAACACTCGAAAAAAAAACTCAACCCTAAACCTGAAAGCCGTACAAGGCTTAAGCCCTGAACCCTAAGCCTTTAAATCTAAATTTAAACCTTGAACCCGAAACCTAGAAATCTGAGCCCTTCATACCCCAGACTCTAAGCCCTAAAAGTTAAACCCTAAGGGTCCACGTGCCCAAAAAGTATATACTTTGGCCCCCAAAGTACCTATATAGGGACTACTGTAAGGCCAAAGTATCTACTATTTAGGTACATGGACCCTTAGGGAAACTTAAAACCCTAAACTCCAAACCGAAAACCCTACTATGCTGAAACCCTGAAATCTAAACCGAGAAACCCTGAACCCTCAGGTCTAGGGGTTTAGGGGTTTAGGGGTTCAGGGTTGTCTAAACGCTAAACTTAAGCCCCCCTAAGCCCCCCTATAAACCGAAACTCTAAACCCTAAACCCCAAAAGAGCCCTAAACCCTAAACCCCTAAACCCTAAACCCTAAAAGAGCCCTAAGCCCTAAACTCTAAACCCCTAGACCCTAAACCCTAAGCCCTAAATCCCTAAACAGCAGGATGTGAAAGGCGCTGCTGGCGAGCGCTCGCAAGCGCAGACCTTGGACTTCCGGTCGGCTGCTGCGATTCCCGAGTTCACGCTCGCAGTGCTTTGGGCTGCTTTATCAACTTAGGGGTTTCGGGGTTTTTAGGGTTTAGGGGTTTTAGGGTATAGGGGTTTAGGTTTTTTTCGGGTTTGGGGCTTTTAGGGTTTAGGGTTTTTAGGGTCTAGGGTTTAAGGGCTCAGGGGGTTTAGGATTTAGGGTTTTAGGGCCTAGGGTTAAGGCTTTGGGGGGGTAAAGC